TAGTGTGAGGGGAATAAACCAGATTTATATAAACAGAATTTGAGCCTGTTAAAAAGTGAACTTACAGAGCCAATTACTTTTACAGAGAAACTCAAAATGCTGGACATTACGCGAGACAAGCCCGTCAAGGTGTCTGTCAAAGTGGCCGTGCCGGTGCGGGATCACCCGAAGGTGAGTCAAATACCAGACATAATCAGGCTTATGGTAATAACTTATTTGCCATTTGCCAGTTCAATTTTGTTGGCAAGCTGCTGGGACCGAAGGGCAACTCGATGAAACGACTCCAGGAGGACACAATGTGCAAAATGGCCGTGCTGGGACGTGGCTCGATGCGCGACCGCCGGAAGGAGGAGGAGCTGCGTGCCAGCGGCGACAGTCGTTACGCCCATCTCTTTGAGGACCTGCACGTTGAGATTTCAACATTTGCGGCGCCCGCCGAGGCTCACGCTCGTATCGCCTATGCCCTGGCGGAAGTGCGTCGGTTTCTGGTTCCGGTGAGTGGTCCCAACCTGGGCGGGGGGCCTCTGTTGGTATTTCAGCTGTTTCTGCACAACTTGCAGGCGTAAGTGCTTAAAGTTGCCGCCGCTTCTTTTATTGAGCGCACACAAAATCTTAAATTTGTTCTCAAGTCCAGGACCTGGGCAGCGACTGGGCTGCTGCAGCTGTTGCAGCTGCTGCTCCAAGGTTGCACTCGTTATCGACTCCAGCTTCCGTGTGATGCTGGCTGCATTGCAACGTCCTCCGTCAGCTGCCTTCGTGGCACACCAACACGCCTCGCTGACTAAATTGCATTGTGCTGTAATTACATTTGCCACCCCCTTTTGGCGCTCCATAAACTTCGCACTCGACGCTGTCGAGCTGCCAATGTCGCCTCTGTCCATTGTGTGGTTCCTGGCACGCTATCACCATGCCATGGCATCTCCATCTTCATCTCCATTGCCGCAGTCATTGCATTCTGGCATCGCGTGTGTTCTCTGTTCTGTGTCCGTTCTGCTCCGCAGTATCCCTCGTCCACTTGAGATACAAACGGTAACCATTTAGTATCCTCGATGCTCGTTTACAATCCTTCCGCTTCCATCGGCCAGCTGGAGTGCACATGTTCACATGTTCATATCTTCACATGCCTCGCAATGATATTTATTTATTTATTTATTTTGCTTTGCTCTAAATGAAAAACTACGTATGCACCTTAAATTATAGCCTCCCACTTGCCCTGAATAGCTGACCCAAATAGTATCTAAAATATGCTTAACTCAAATTCTATATCCAGGGATGCTTTAAAGCGACTTTTACATCATTTTGTATTCAGTTTAATTTAGAACCGTGTGGATTTTATTTTAGATAAAAAAAGTCTTTAATTTAAAAGGTAAGTCCGTGTAATTAAATATGTTATAGAAACTAAAACATTATGGGCAAAATTTTAAACGCTTGAAGCTAGTAATAAATAAATTTTGAATATAGCGCGCTGCTTAACTTCATTAACAGCTAGCTCTTGACTTTTGGAGCTAAATTGAATTTTGAAAATTAAGATTTAAACAACCCAACAAAATATCCAGAGACATGTGTTGCCAGCTGCAGGTTGTGAGTAACACACGAGCGAACCTCTGAGACGCAACTGTCAGGAGCATAAATTTTGTTTGGCCGCGGTTTGGTAGATTTCAGATCTGATGACACACACAAAATTTGCATAGAAATTATTTCAATTTTATGCTCGTATGTGAGAAGCATAAGCTGTTTTAATTTAGATAAATAACATATATAAGGCTTATGATACGAAACAATCTTTGTGTGTGTGTGTGTGTGTGTGCCATACCTCGGCTGTTGTATTGTTTATGGCAGCTACCACACCGATTTATGGGGTTGATTGTCCTGCAAGCAAGCAGCTCCAACAACAGCCAGTCGAGTGGAATCTAATGAAATTAGTAGTTGGATCTTAGACATATTAGGGATTCACACTGAACTAACCATAACTCGGTTAATGTTGCTAAATCAAAAAGTATTAACACAGCCACAGCTTCTGCTCCTGCTTTTTGTTTACCTCCAACTCGAAGATAGCTGCCAAATTGTGGTGTGTATCCGTTTGCCTAGGTTTCCTCGATGCTGCACCTCCATAATTGCATTAAACACGAACACACACTCCCTCACACACACACACACTCGACTCGGGTAAAAGTATATATATTTATATATATATGTAGCACACACACAGCCGTATTTATTACTCTGCTTCAACGCGCACCCACCCATCGCATGTGCTGGGTCACCCAAGGAGCAGAGAGAATGGGATGCGAGTGCGACACTCGCAAACTTTTAATTGACATCCAATAAAATTCGCATTTATTACGCGCACTGAGAACGCCTGAATTAAATTTAATTGCTAGACGAGACAAAATGCAGCTTTTATGACCGCCCCCAATGCCAGCAGCGAGGTGTCAGCATGGCGAGGGGACATGGCAACCCATTGTTAATCATGTATTGCACTGTGTACTCTTCCACAGGACTACCATGACGATATCCGACAGGAGCAGATGTGGGAAATGCAGGCACTGACATCGACGCCCACGCTGAGCCACCTCGACGACTCACAGAGCCCGACCAATACCAACCGCGGCCTGGGCGGTGGCTTGGCAGACATGGACACGTCCAACGACGACAAGTCTGACAACGATACCAGCGGCATGGACTGCCTCTCGCCGGACAAGCTCGACTGCGGCCAGTCCTGCAGCAGCAGTGGCGGCGGTGGCGGTGGCGGCGGCAGCGGCGGTGACACCCACCCACATCATCAGCATCAGCATCACCAGCACCAGCACCAGCCAGCGCACTTCCATCAGCTACTCCAAACGCATGGAGGCGCCAGCGCTGCAGCTGCGGCTGCCGCCTGTGGGGAGCATCTCACTGGACAGGCGAATACTGCGACAGCAGCAGCACGTGAGTATCTCCAGCAGGGCAAATGTAATTACCGCGAACGAAAAATGGGAATGGCAAATAAGATTGAGAATGGATAGTTTCTCGCAACGGAGCCAGCCATTGTAATCCGCATTAAGCAAATGCAATTTTAGTGCAGTAATCAAATTTCTTGATCTATATAAAATTATCCAGCCATTCAACCAACGCAGTTGTATGCAACGTTTCGAAAGACTTTCGAGGGATATGCACAACAAATGGTGTTGCACACAATATGCAAATACAAAATATATATAAATAAAAATGCACTTACATTCACACGCAATATAGCCATATATTATATAAATCCAGATTTTAATCCATATCGAAGTGCTAGAGTGGGATAGAGGAGAAAGAGTATATTATAGTGAGAGTAAGATCAGAAAAAAAGTTTTCAAATTACTCGCACAGCTTGCAAATTCAAATGGACAAGCCCAGCTGGCCTTACTTGAATTCGTGAGAATTGCATAGAAAGGCGATACTTAAAAACATTTAATTTGCCTTGCGGTAAAAGGAATTTTGAAAAAGTATGAAACATAAGGCGGCATTTGTTATTAGAAAACATAATTAGCAGATATTATCCGTCATTTCCCGACCCAAGTTTTTATCAAAATAAATCCCCTACTACTAAGGCATACGTATTATGAGCTATAGAACGAAATATGGAGTATTTGCCCCCTGCGGTGGGATGGCATATACTCTCTGAAATCACAATTGCCACTTCATTTCAGTGCACACCACAGCAATGGCTGTGGCGTTGCAGCATCAGCTGACGGCTGCCGGCATAGGTGGACTTTTGAAGCCGTCGCCAGGCATGGGAGTGGCCGGTGCCATGTCTGGCTTGCCCACAACGCAGGGCGGCTCCGCGGCACTGCAGCTGACTGGCGATGGAGAGGCAAATACTTCGACATTGACGCTACTGGAACCGCCTGGAGCACTGCTGCATCCTGCGCTTCGCAACGTGAAGGCCATCAACATAGGTTAGTTGCTGCGAATTGGCCAGGCGGTGCTCAGCTTCGTTTATCATTGCAGGTAGCGGCCTGGGGCGCAAGCGACCGCTGCTGGGCGTTCCACGATCCGGCATGAATCCGACAAAGCGCACCGTGATGAGCCTGCTGGCGCGGGCCAAAAACTCCCAAGCGCTTCATACAGTGCGCCAGCCCGTGGTCACCGCCACAAGTTTTGCCGAGTAATTAGCGCTGTGCCTTGGAGTCTGTTTGGAACACAATTTGAATTCCCCCCCTCTCTCTCTCTTTCTCCCCCGTCTGCATTTTCAGGCCCCTACAGATGCTGGCCTCACCCTTCATCATTCCGCACCAGGGCATGGATCAGTCCATCATAGCGCTGCCCAAGGAGAGTCTCGCCCAAGGCGTCTAACCCTATGACTTTTATACGCTGCGCACCGCAGATGGTCGCACCTGACCGACTACAATTTGCCCCGCCTCCTTCTTCTAAAGACACAAATAAGTTAGGCTTACCAAATACAATTTTATGAAATACGATTTCTTAACATAGGATTCGAATCTATTGAGGAGCACACGCCCGACCATAGCGAATATTCCGCTTTGTATAACCAACTCGTAAGCGTCTTTGAAGGAGAAGCTGTGTGATCGGGGTTCGCCGACGATTGCATGCCCTACCAATACCAGAGAGCCTATCTAAACACACGATTTGTTTTAAGCGAATTACAAAATAAATAACGCAAGTATTTTTAATGCGATGTTTTATTTCCAAACAACCCAAAAAAACAAAGAAGAGAAACCTAAACGAATAAAAAAAAAAAAAAAAAACAACTAAATTAGTGTCAAATTAACGAAAAACTTTAATAGAATTAAAATGTAAACGCAATTACTTTAAATAAATTACTTTAAATAAATATACACACTCACACACACACAATTGCAAGTACCATATATATATATACATACATAAATATATATATATATATATATATACATACAGCAAATATATATACACTATGCATACTTATATGTACTTAAATCTATATATTTAAATGAGAATGTGTTGGAAGTAAACAAAGAGAGAGAAAAAACAAACAAGAAAAACTAACCTAAACACACGCCACATAAATTGATAATAATTTTTGGAGTATTTTAAAAATGCAACATAATAAAATGCATCGACGGAGCTCAGTACAAGACGAACAGAAAAGCTTAACGACCACAACTAATACACACACATTTTATTTATGTTGATTAAACGAGAAATTGGCCATAGAATTGCTTTAGCTAAGCATATTATCCAATATTTATGTTTTTGCATATACTTGGAGCACAGCCCGTAGTACATATATAGACGAAATTCGAAAGCCTGGATTTAAGTGATCAGATGTGGATCCCACCGCCTTCAGCTTGTTTCATATTGAACCCAAAGCAAATGTCGTTAACAAAAAAAGAAAAAAAAAAAACAAAAATTCCTCGGTTTCAGTTAAAACACAGACAAACGTTTTAAATAACATCGAATGCAACGAATTCTACACGAATCTTTTGCAGAGAATGTTCATAAATTAGAATTTCTTTAAATTATTTAAATTGATGCTTACATAAATTTCGAAGAGCTTGGGCCCATCCTCGGCCAGGTTTAAAGATCAGTTCTAGCTGATTTTGTATTGTGTCTGAAAGTAAGACGAATAATAATAATTAAGATTAGCATGGATCGGAGTAACATTATATATTTTGCACAAAATGCAAGAAATTTTAGTCCAATCTCGTTAAAAACTAAATACTTATATTGATTTCAAATATGCGCTCGCTAAATAGATGAGCTAAAAATATGCCGAGTAAGTTTGTTGAATGAACAAATTATAAAATCTAAATGTGCACCCAAACGCATTCATAACTAAATATAACCAAATATGAATACGAATACGAATACGATTACGAATACGAATACGAATACGAATACATAAATAGAGTATATGCATTAATGTTCAACAGTTTAATCAAAAGGCATATTTACAATTTACAAGCAAAACAGAATTTAATAAAACCAAATATTCATATTGATGTTGAAAGAAACCAACCGTGTAAAGTCCTAAAAAAAAAATAATAAAAAAACAAAAAGCCAAAAAAAAAAAACGATTACTCGTACCTACATAAATAACTGCATGTAGTGAAACTCAAATATTAATATGCAAATTTAATTAAATAATTAATTAACTTAAACGGTACTCGTACACACAAATATTGATGTGAGTAATTGCAGCCACACAACCACCACAGCTTCGAGCTATTCAAAAATAAATGCAATATTTTAAAAATACAATAAATCCCAAAACATTTTCATTGTTTTTTTTGTTACTATATATATATCTAAGCCTAGGGCTAAACTGGTATTAAAATCACCAGGTCATCGTTGAAATATATAAAAGAATGCAACAAGAAGATACCCTGTAACCGGACCACCCTACCCACATAGTTTAGTTATAATACTAAAATAGTTTTCGCTTTCATACATTGATTTATTTTAGCTGACAGATAAATCGGTCGTTGTTCGATCTTGTAAATGTATGGAGAACAATAATCTATAAATATCCGTAAAACATCTCCTGCTCGAGCCAACTGCCGGGAAAATGTCTGAATACATAACGACGAGCGGTCTCTAGAAATATATTCAACACAATCAGTGGAAAAATATGCCAGAATACCGGTGTATAGCTGCGAAAAGTGAGTTAAATAAATGATATTTCGGAGTAAAAAGATCATCAAAACCCACTGCACATGCGAAATTCGCAAATATTCTGGACTATTTAGAACTGTGAACAGAAAGCCAAGACAGACCATATAAACGACGGCAATATTCAAACGAACATTGGCAAAGCCATGTTTTAAGAGATTTGCATGTCCGGTTTTGGTCAATATTAAATTGATGCACTGCATTATCACCAAGGTGATGAAAACAACCGAGGCAATCTCATATTCGAGCTGCTTGCGAGCCGCTCTAGTCTGCAATTAAAGTGAAGAGTGGGCTTAAGATGTACGCCTTGACAGTGCCACATAAGAGCTTGCCCATTCTTGCCCATAGGAGTCGACCAAATCATTGACGGAGTCATCGTACCAGTCCACGCTGAGACCAATCAAATGCCTGGGCAGAAATCCATTATATGCCATGTATACAAAATAGGTGATTACCACGGCGCTGGCTTCAATGATGCCCACTTGTACGTAGGCCACAAAAATCAGGCTAAGTGTATGAGCCGTGTTAAAATAAAAACATGACAAAAGATCGAAGCCAACGAATTACCGTCTGTTGATCAGATGGTCGTCAAAGACTTTCGGCTTCAGATTCATGAGATCTACCTCGGGACGCTCATAGAACAGCGACAGCGCAGGCAACTGGCAAAGTTTGAAGGCAGTTTAAATATTAGATAATGTAAAGCTCAACAGCTTACCGCGTTCACAAAAATATCAATGAGCAGCAAAATGATCAGAAACAGTCGAAATGGAATCAAGAACACAATAAATGACAAGTGCACCATAATCACAGCCATATTCGAGGACAGGGCATAGGCCAAAGCCTTTTTCATATTCTCGAACAGCAGGCGGCTCTCCGCAATGGCATTAACCAGCGTTACGAAATTGTGCTCCAACAGAATAATATCGGCTGAGGATTGGCTCGCATGCGAGGAGGCGCACTCGGCAACGCCTATGTTCGCACGTCGAATGGCGGCTGTATCATGCACAGAGCTGCCGATCACGGTGACCACAGCGCCCAGCTGTTGGCACACATCGACAATCATGTAGCGCTGCTCGACAGCAATGTCGGCAAAGACCAGATCCACGTGGGCCATTAGCAATTGCTGTGTGTCCCAGCGCTGATGATGCAGCTTCTTTTGCCAGTTCTGCATGTTGATTGCAGCCGCAGTTATCATGCTGCGCTTCACCTCCGACTCGTGTATGTTGAGGCGTGCCGCCACATCTTCAATGGTTTCGCTATCCTGGCCAATGACACCAACAGTTTTGGCAATCGCTCGAGCGAAACTTAGTTCGGCACGGGTCAGTAGCACCAGTTTGATGCCAGCCGAGCGGCAACGATCCACCGCATTTCTCACATTCAAAATGGGCGGATTGAATATGGATATTAGGCCCAGAAAGCACAGAGAGTTGCAGTATAGTTTCATGAATTTGTCAAACGACCTCTTCTCCTTATTAGCAAAACCGTTCGAGATCAGCGACAGCATTTGATCATCAGGGCTCAACACCTTAGAGCCAAATGCAGATGTGTGCCGGCCTATCTTCTTCAGCCTAATGACAGTATCAACAATGGTATCTCGATGAATATCGTCCAGTTCCACCAGCTTATTCTTGACATAGCAAGTGCTGCTATAACCAAGAACCACATTCCAGAAGCCTCTCACGAAAAGATAATAGTTTTTTTCTCCATTAGCGTCCACGGTTCGGTGTACGCTCACCTGCATATGGGACACCGTGTCGTACGGTTTGCTAGCCAATATCTTATATTGGCGACGCAACTGCAAAATGCTGGAAAAGAAGCGCATGCCAAACTTTAGCAAAGCCTTTTCATAGTCGGTTCCGTCCAAAGTCTTCATCATACGCGGCACGCCCCTCTGGCCGGGAGTCAAATCGGCCCGATTACACAGCACTGAAACGCGTACCAGCTCCAGAACACGCTCATTCAGATCCGCTACATGGAGGTGTTCGGCATTGCTGAGTTCACCATCGACAAACAGCTCCGAGACTGTCCAGCTACGCACTGTCAAGGATCCAAATAAACTGCTGCATATAACTGTCGTTAAGCCCAGCGTAGAGGCAGCCTCCATGTTTCGAACATAACAACCACTCTCGAGCAGAGTACGTTTCGTCTGCCACAGGCCGAAGTACATCAGGGTGGGCAGATACAAGGGCGCCAAGGAAATCGTCAGGCTCACATTGAACTCTATCAACATCTGGAAGGTCAGGCCCTCCACCGAAATCGTACAAAGCAGAATGAAAAACATCAATATGCTCACGATATGTGTATAATACGTGACCTGCATAAAGTCAGAAATTCATTTGAATTCTATATTACTTTTATGGAAAGGAATTAACTAGCTCAAGGTTCCTTCAAGGTTTGTAAAGCGGAAAGTTGCGGAAGAATTAGAAAATGTAGAATGGATCGGGTCGAAATTAACTTGAAGCCCATCTCAGAACTAGTTAATTTGACGAAATGTGATCTGACCTCTTTAATATGCCTACGGGGTCTGCTGCGGGGACGAGGTTCCATGCTCAGCCGCGCCATAATCCCGACTTCCGAATCATTGCCACAGGCTATGACCAAACCCTCGCCATAGCCCTTTGTTACATGACTGCAGGCAAAGCCCACATTGCGAGCCACCCATTTGTCCCTATTGATATGGTCTGGACAAATTATCACGGGCACCGAATAGCCGGTGAGGGCCACATTATTCACTTCCAAATCGCGCGCGATAAAGAATCGAACATCTGCCGCAATGCGTTCCCCATAGTTGATCAGTAGAATGTCACCCAAAACAACATCTTCCGAACGAATTATCTGCTTGCGTCCATCTCGGAGTACTGTACAATACATGGGCATCAGATCCCTGAAAGCCAAGACCACGCCATAATCGTCATTGTCGTGTAGATAACGAAACAGACCCGATATGAGGAAAATTATTGATAAAAGTACGCCGATTATGCAATATTCTGGATCGTGTTCCTCATGCGGTGACTGCAGTTTCAGATGATACAAAATGAAACAGAATATCAAGCTTATGAACAATAAAATTCCAAAACCATAAAAGCAGTTTCTCAAAAATTTCCTCAACTTCGATTCTGGCCGTTCCGGCAACGTGAACTTATTCTTTCCATTCAAAAGTAGTCGCTTTTTTGCCAACGAACTCGTCAATCCCTGAAAAGGTCAGCATGCAATTAGTGGACTCCTCAAAATCAGCATTCCGGAGCTCACTTGGGTTTTAGAGGACTGCAGTCTCGAGCAAACTCTATCAAAATCGCCCAAATGCAACGTCGATTTCCAATCGTCAGGCATGTTCAGTAACAATTTAAATTATGTTCTCGGACCTCTAGAGTTTTCAATGTAATGTCTCATATCGAGTTAACAAACGTTTTGAATTCTTAATACAGGGTTCCTTTTCTTTTGTAGATTTTACTTTTTTCTCATTAAAATGAAAAATATTTGGATACCAGATGGTCGGTATTAGATATAATCTACAATGTTCCCGCTGGGTTATCCTTTGGAATATTTGTGAGTTCCTTTTACAGATATGCACAGCTGTTTCTCATGCAAACGAACTGACGTAAAATCAATAGACTTTGTTTTTTTAAACTCAGTAATAATCGTTACATTCGTTCCGAATGCTCTCGCACATAAACTTCCGGATGTCCGGGTCCTTCAATATGCTGTCAACTCATCGGAAAAAGCGCCGCAGTACACGTTGAGTTTTCCATGATATTGATTATCGCTTCATGTTTTACTGCCACATTTAATAGGCCATTAAAATATGATTGCTGCAAAGTAAAATGCACATAAAATGAACATTTGTATGTAAACATACAAAAATAAGTGTGCTCCGTATTTATGAACTTATCTAACTGGCATTTGCGGTCTATTCGAAAAATGTGCTTGTCCAATTGAACAATTGGACATTCCCTACATCAAAATATCAGATTCTGCAAGTAAATATCAACAAATTTGAAGTACACAGCCGAAACAATTAATTGCATTTATTTGTATTTCATGTTAGCCCAGTTACAGCGAGTTATTCGAGCACCTTCAGATTCAAGGGCAAATTGAGAAAGCTGTAGCCGCGTTGTCCGGGACGCCAGGTGACAAAATTCTGAATGCATTTTACCTCGGCGGAGGGCTTGCACTGACCGAGTTCCTCGTTGAAGAACTCCCCATCCAAGCACTCGTAGTCAGTGCGCCTGCCATCGCGGCACTCATAATATGCCTGACAATTCCATTTGTGGCGGAATAATCCTTGCTCTGGGCACAGGCCGACACCCTCAGTTGTGGGCGCTTTCGTAGTGAGAATATCCGGGCTCCCTATGGCCGCTACGACAACCTTGAGTAGTCCGTAGTGTTCCCCGCATAGGCCATGGAAATCGTCCGCATCGAGGGACCACATCATCGCACCACCCAGCCTTTGTTCCTTAGCTAGGTGCATCTTAGCGCTGATACTGTGCCCATTTTCGTAGGTGATCCATTGGTCATCCATATAAGCATATGGCACCTGCGCCTGCTTGTCATATTTCTTTTCCCACTTGACCGCTTGCGCGCAAAATTCAGCATAGGTCATGTATCCCTCCTGTCTTGAAAAATCGTGTTGCCTACCAGGACCCTTGCTGGGCGCACCCACAGCCGTTTTGCTTGCGTCCTCCAGGGTAAAGGTCCGCCCGAATAGTGGAATGCCAAGGATTAGCTTCTCTGATATTTTGCTCTGCTCGACCCAGTGCCGGACACCTCGCTCCACACTTCTGCTGCCGTTTCCGTAGAGCGGCGAGTTGTATTCAACCTTGGGACCATAAGGATCTTCATTGTCATGGGTATTTAGAATAATAAAATCGGCGTAATTCGCTATACGAGGAATGTCATAAGACCGGAGAGTAGCATCATCCATCCTGGCAGAAACGGAAACCAACAGTAGAAATTGATGGTCCTGTAGACTGTTTGGCAAGATTAAGTGATGTTGGATTATTGTACGAGATAGGCGCTTACATAATCTTTAGCTCGCTTAATAGATTCACATAGTTGTCGCGATCCTCGGGTGTAGGATACTCCCAATCTAAAAGGACGCCACTACAATTCCATTTGAAGAGGAATTTAATGAGTGATTTATAAAACTGATCGCGTTTGGGCATGCTCGCTGCCATCTCGGAGAACCTTTGCGCATCATCCTTCGTTCCGCCAATTGAGATGATAGCCTGGAAGTTATCACGTCTCATATTTTCGATACTGTCGAAGATCGCTGTTGCATTTTGGTCTTAGTTATTATGCAGTTAATCAGCTTTAAAAAAGTGCTTTACCCCTTTTTTCGACCAATCGTGGGTTAACAATTTTCATGGCCCCAGATCCCTTCGGGTCCAAGGTGGTTACCGAGCCATATACAAAATGCGTGCAAAGCCTCCTGTCTATGCTCCATAAATTAAAATGGCTAGATTTCTTGCGGTCGTAGGCGGCAGTATTCCAGTGGCAAAATATCGAATCTATAGTTTTTGGGATTTCAGCTATATTTCTTGCCATATTCACCCGGAATGTACTCACACTTTCTGTCTGACGCCAGGGCATAGAGCAGCGAGCCAAGAATAAGGCAAAGTAGAAGTAAGACTTTCATTATGCCAATCGAAATTGCATTAGGAAAACTTTCAATTTAAAATTCGTTTTAATAATAAATAATGTGTCAGTCCTTTCAGGAAATCTGTGTTTCTTTTTGAAAATATGCGAAACGAATTTTTAGTGTTTAAGTTTAAGTTTTTGTTTAGGATATGCGATGTAGTTGTGACAAAGCGTGTAACATGTATGGCAAAGATTACTTAAATTCAGGTTCATTTAGAAAATAACCGACAACAAAATAAAATAATACTCAAATTTTAACTCTAAATTAGTTTTAAAAGTTCGAACACAATACTCATAATAGAAACGAATATTAAATTTCAAGTATTTTCAATTCAGCTTTTTGATCGGCATAATGAAAGTGTCATTTGTAGTTTTTCTAATAGTTGACTCGCTGCTCTCTACCTTCGCGTCGGACACGAAGTGTGAGTACATTCCGAGTGAATATGGCAAGGGATATAGCTGAAATTCCCAATTGTAGATTCGATATTTTGCCACTGGAATACTGAGGCCTACGAGCGCAAGGATACTAGTTATTTTTATTCCTGGAGCATAGATGAACGCCTTTGTACGCATTTGGTATTCGGGTCAGTTGCAAGCTTAGATCCGAAGGGATCAGGCGCCTTGAAGATTATCAATCGAAAGTTCGTCGACAATCGGAGTAAGTTACCTTTTAAAGATGTCCAGCTATGTAATTACTTATTACTGGGATCCTAGATGAAATCTTTAACATAAGGCGTCATAATTATAAACTATTAATTTCTGTTGGCGGCATGAAGGATGACGCGAAAATGTTCTCCAAAATGGCAGCAAGCATGGCCAAACGCGATCAGTTTTATAAATCACTTCTTAAATTTCTTTCGCAATGGAAATGCAGTGGCGTTCTCTTAGATTGGGAGTATCCTTCACCCGAGGATCGCGACAATTTTGTGAAGCTGTTAAAAGAACTAAAGATTGTGTAAGCGCCTATCACATACAATAATCCAATATCACCTGATCTCTCGAAACAGTCTACAGGACCGTAACTTTGTTCTGTTGGTTTCCGTTTCTGCCAGGATGGATGATGCTACTCTCCGGTCTTATGACATTCCTCGAATAGCGAGGCACGCGGATTTTATTATCCTAAATATCCATGACAATGAAGATCCTTATGGCCCCAAGGTTGAATACAACTCGCCGCTCTACGGAAACGGCAGCAGAAGTGTGGAGCGAGGTGTCCGGTACTGGGTCGAGCAGAGCAAAATATCAGAGAAGCTAATCCTTGGCATTCCACTATTCGGGCGAACCTTTACCCTGGAGGACGCAAGCAAAACGGCTGTGGGTGCGCCCAGCAAGGGTCCTGGTAGGCAGCACGTTCATTCTAGCCGGGCGGGCTTCATGACGTTTGGTGAATTTTGCATACAAACGGCCAGGTGGGAAATCAAATATGACAAGCAGGCGCAGGTGCCATATGCCTATATGGATGACCAATGGATCACCTTCGAGAATGGGCGCAGTATAAGCGCAAAGATGCACCTAGCTATGAAACAAGAGCTGGGTGGCGCGATGGTGTGGTCCATCGATGCGGACGACTTCCATGGTACATGCGGGGAAACATACGGCCTGCTCAAGGTTGTCGTATCGTTCATGGGGAGCCCTAATATATTAACTACCAGAGCGCCTATAACTGACGGCTTCTGCCCAAAGGACGGATTATTCCGCAACAAATGGAATTGTCAGGCATATTATGAATGCCGCAATGGCAGGCGCACTGACTACGAGTGCTCGGAAGTGGAGTTTTTCGACGAGAAACTTGGTCAGTGCAAGCCCTCCGAAGAGGTGAAATGCAATCAGGATTTTGTCGATTGGAGCCCAGGCGAAAATGGCTACAGCTCAGAAAACTTGCCCTTAAATCTGAGGGTAGTCTAATAAGTGTCTGTAAGATGATTTACACACATTGTACAAATAAATCCATTCGGTTGTGTACATAAAATTTGTTTAGCATTTTACTAAATCTGAATAGTTGCAGCTGCTCGAGTTGTAGTCGAATTTAAGACCCGTGGGGCAATTAAACTTGAAAGTTTTCCCAGCGTTACAAAAATAGAATGTGGAACAGTTGTGCGGGTCCCTTACGTAGCCGACATTATCCTGGCAGCGATAATCCTCAATTTCGCCTTGTGCCGCTGGCTGCGGTTCAGCTTTCAGTCCAGTTGGACTGTCCATGCCAAAGAGCACACGATTGATTTGGGTCAAAAGTGGATATTTGTTACCGCCGCAGCTCCCTCGGAAATCGTCCGACTCAAGTGACCAAATCATAATGCCGCCAAGTTTATGCTCTAAAGCATACTCTGCCTTGAGCATTAAACTGCGTTCGTTCTCATAGCCCACCCATTGACGGTCTTTGAAGGCGTATGGCACCTGCTGCACTGCCTCCCATTCCAGCGTCCATTGTTCCTGCTGAAAGATTCGGCATAACTCATTATAGCCCATAACGCCCGGTTCCCGCGAGAATGGTCCAGCAATGCCGCGACCTATATGCGCTACGCCAGGCATATGCTGATCGGACGCAGCTAAAGTGAATGTGCGACCATAAAAGGGCACTCCAAGTAGCAACTTCTCCGGCGGTGCGCCTGCGCCTATCCAATATTTGACTACAGCATCCACATTTAGCTGCTTGTCACGTTGTTTTGTAGCGTTCGCTCCCCCGAACAGTGGCGCATTGATGCCCACAGTTGCATCCCAGGAACCATGCAGGTCGTAGGCCATAACGTTGATGAAGTCCAAGTACTCAACTATAGCTGGTATATCATAGGAAATCTCCGCGGAAAACTGAGCTGAGCCCACGGCAGCACTGAGAGTGTAGCCAAAGGGATCGAAGCCCGCCTTCAGCTCCTTGAGCAGGCTAACATAATTGTCGCGATCGTTATTAGCTAGCTTATGTCGCTGACCTGGATATTCCCAGTCCAAATCCAGGCCATCGAAGCCATGTCGCTGCATAAACTGAACGATCTGTTCGATAAAACGGGAACGTCTCTCTGGATCGTTAGCCACAATCGAGAAGCGTTTGGAGCCCTCGTTCCATCCACCAACAGCAACAAGCGTTTGCAGTGTAGGATTCTTCAATTTGAGCGCATTAAACTTCTTGATGTTGCCAAGGCCGCTGTTGTCCTCAAGATCCAGATAGGGATCAATAATGCGCAGCTCGCCGCTCTCCTTAATGCCCAGAAAGGCGTACACCAAGTGTGTACAAAGAAACGGATCTATGTCCTCCACGCCAAACTTTCCCTCCTTCGGCCGGTAGACAGACCATGTGCCCTGATAGCACACGACGCGCTCTGATTGCGGAGATATCTATGAGTATTATTGGGCATTAGCAGGAAAAGGACTTACTGCCCGGCGCCGTTGCTCCTGCAACAGCCAACAGCAACAAAAAAAGCAATGCGTTGTAAGACCACATTTAACCTGAATCTGCGAAATTGTTTTGAAATAATACTTCACAAATTCGCCGTACATTCGCATTTTATACACTCTGAGATGGTGTCAATCAACAAGTTAATCGATAAGTGCAAGGTGTTGTCAAAGTAAAGGTTTGTATACATACATATGTGTGCATATGCTACAACAACGTAGCAATAAAAATATTAAAAGTGTTTATTCTTGCACCAACAGCAAGGCAAATAGAATGAATTCTCGGTTGGCCCGAGAACGGCGATTACGATTCACGATTTATTTAAACAAGAAACTGAAGGCCAAGCTAAAAGTGTGGCCAGCATCTAGCTTCAAAATAAATACCTCACTTAAAACTTTTTCAGCTTGGACAATTGATTGTTCCGTCGCAGCGCCATTTTGCGCAGGCGGCGCCAATACTGTTTGCTGTTGGGGTCCAGCTCTTCCAGCGGCACAATGCGCTCGGTGTTAAGGGTCCACAGCCAGTCAGGGTACTCGGCGTCCGGCTTGAGCTGCAAATGTGCACTGGTTAGCATCGGCAACAAACGATATTACATATGCGCTTACCTTGATATCCTCGCCGGTTTTCATGTAGTTGCTGCCGCAGACGTAGCTCACCAATTTGTTGGCGTCCGTTTCGACGGGTAAAACTTTCTTCTCCATAATGGGCCCCAGCTTGCCGAGCTTCTTCTTTTTGCCCGCTTTATTGTTAATTGTTGCATTATCATCATGAGCACCGGCACATTATTGCGGACACTCACCTGCTCCCGCGGCAGCTGGCTTGACCGCATAATGGCGCACAGGTGTTGCTGTAAATGCTAGACGCTGCCTTAGCAAATTGAACGCCAAACTCAGATTGTTCATTTTTGGTAGGCTTTACTTTTGGCTAAGATTCAAAACTCAATTGTAATTCCGAATACATGCAGCCTCATTTTAATAACAAATCCAACACTGTCCACATGGTTGTTGTATAACAGACTGCTTATGAATATACGGGCACACTTGTAGCAACCTATCGAAATCGTCCGCATACCGGCAAAGTACGATAACAAAATTATACAAGTTGAGCAGATGCCATTGCCAAAATGCCATCAATGAAGCTGCGGCTGCCATCGAATCGGACACTGGGAAACATTTGTGTATATGGCGCCATTGTTTCCATTTCGGCTGTGATGTTTATGCGTTGGAAACTGGAAGACCGCGTACGATCGACAGATTACTACAAATTGGCCCTACAGACACTGCGACAGCACAAGGGTAAGCACACATTAAGCTGGACCGCCCACCCGCCCATCGCTTGTAAACAATAACAATGAGAGATTTTTCAGGGGCTGTTGGATTGCTGGGTGAACCTATCAAAGATTCGGGTTTTGACTTGTCCAATGTGAATAACACGTGTGACGCGGACAAGGCCCAATTCGAAATTTCAGTACGTGGCCCAAAGGATAAAGGCACTGTTTTCTTTTGGGCAACAAACAATCGGGAAAAGGGCTGGCTCATAGATCGATTGGAACTGGAGGCTAAACTGCATCCCAACAAGAGATTCTTGCTCAAGAAACAGGATGAGTATGCCAAGCTCGAGAGTGAAAACCAGGAGATGCCAGAGGATCAAGGTTCACAGAATCCAACCGAATTACCTGCCGGCGAGCCCCATTACGAACGGCAAACGTATCCTCAGCCACAGCCCCTCCATCAAACGGAGGAACCCACACCGTATGTCCAGACCGCAGATGGAGGCCGCATGCGATAAACAACGCTTGGCATTTATTTAAATTTGTCTATTCAAGCATTCTTAAACTTGTAATAATACAATTTTAGTATACAAATATTAAAAAAAGAAAAAACCCAAGTCTTTTTTGTAAAAAAAAAGAAAAGGTTTTTGGTTTTTGTTTTTGTTTAAGAAGCGCTTATTTGTATAAGCTGTTGTTGAATTCATTAAATTATTGTTCATTTTAATAAAATTGTTATAAATTGTTATTATCGTTACTTTATACTGTTAATGTTGCAAGTTGCCGTCACTTAGGATCTAATCTGTTGCCAGCTTCAGTGAGAGTCACGGGTTATATATGTATGGACCAATGCTCTACTAAATCTATAATACATTATTGAAAGTGCATGCATACTATTATTAATATTATTAAAAACACGCGCTTAATGCTTTAATTAAACGATAAAGGCGACTCTTGGTGGCGATTGTGACTATAATGCGGTTCCTGTTTCGGTTTCGGTCTCGGCAACAATCATCCAAGTTTAATTCATTATGTAGCACATACATATGTACAGAGTTGATGTAATGTGTGTGTGTGTGTGTGTGTGTGTGTGTTTATAGATACATATATCCACTTTCATCGTATTATAACAGATAGATGTATTCATGTTGTATATATATATATATTTATATAGATGTATGTATGTGTAAAGGATAGGCAAATTAAAGACAATTATTAAATAAGCGCCAACATTTAACGATCGTAAATAGATAGTGTATGGTTCTTGCTGCGACTTTTCCGGCTCACTTTTCACGCTTTGCCATTGCAAGTGGAAGACTGTTGGGTCTTTTTATCTGTGACTGCGCCAGCACTGCCATGGGCAACGGGTTGGCTGGCGTGCCTACGGCTTCCGCTTGCTGCTCCTTGTCTTATTGCGTTTTTAGCTCTTTGCCAATGCTGTACGAAACGATTTTGCTCCAGTCGATCTTAGTTCTGGTAATGGGCAGCTGTCGGCGCATCGCCTTGAACGTGGTGTCCGACATGGTTTGGTAGTTCTCCGAAATGGCTAGCTGATATTCGTTCTCCGCCTCTTCGATCAGACGTATAACCTCATTGGCCAATTGCTGTTCGTTGGACACAACAAGACTCTCACGGCAATCCTTTGACGACACCAGCTGAACATTGCCATCCTCGTAGTAGTGCACCTGCACCTTCAACACGCCCTTCAATTCCGCCGTGCCGCTGCCAGCCTGGAAACTGACATGCCACTGCGAACGCCATCTGCCGTTCCAGTAGTTCTTCGGCTGAAACTGATGGTCCTCAATGCAAACAGTCAGCGTTACCTGGTTGCCTTGCGACTTGCCAAACACGGAGCTTACCTGTGTGACAATTAAGTTATCAAAATAAATCAGAAATCTAGAATACCCCGAGGTGTTCACTTACGCCGTGCCTGTAGTGATTGGCGGTATATGCAAGGGTGGCCAGGTCCAGGGCAGCGCGCCACGACTCCGCGCTGGCATCGGCCTCCAAATCCTGGTAGTCGGACGCCTCTTTCCGTAGGTGGTCGTACTTGAAGGACTGCTTAGTGCGAGGATCATAGAAGCGACCGTTCCCTGCACATATTAATAAATATTTACTTTAACTAATTCTATATTTATTTATATTTATAGCCACTTTCGATAAAGAATAACAGATATATTAATGAATTCGTGTGTTCAATGAATTCTTATCAATAACTAAATGTTGATAAAAATAAATACCGAACTAAGATTTACGATAAAACAACATTTTTTTATCAAGGATTTCATTTTGCAATTTTTAAATTGAACATCGATTGTTTTCAGTGTAGCCAAGTGTCGTCAGTGTTTGCATGTGTGTATGCGTGTATGTTTGCATGTGTGTGTGTGTGTGCATGTAGGTCTGTGTGTTTTGGCTGCATTTTGAAGCTTATGCCCATATATGGTAAGCCTCACGAAACATACGGGAACTAACTCTCACCAGCTGACGCCCACTCGCCCTCCTCCCCGCACCAAAAAAAAAAAAAACACCAAGGTGTTTGGATAATGTTGAAATACGCACCCAAATCGTTGTATTCGGAGATGATCGCGTTGTGTTCACTGCCCTCGACCCGCACTGGCGTCAACTGGTCCTTGTTGTATTGGGAGAAGGCGTGGCTGGCGCCATCCTTCAGCAAGGCATCGTTCTTAAGCAGCTCGCGGACGTCGTTGAAGACCTCATTGAATTCACCGGGCGGTGCATGCAATATAAAGTCGGAGACAATGCGCACCTTTTCCGCATCTGTAATCTGTGTTTGTTCCATAATTTCGTTGGTGATTCACGAATTTGGGGCAGTGTTTGGTTTTGATGATGTTGTTGTTATTTGTATGCTATCGCAACTTGTGTTATTCCGTATGTGTGTGTATATGGGTATGCACGACAATTGTAACTGGCATTGGTTTCCACTGATTTCGTTTAAAACTTATTTATTTTCTACTTATATTAAAGTTAATCCGGCCTTTTTTCTTTTTCAAGCAATTAATGTGAAGACAATGAACGATGACGATGACAGAGTTTTTCGCTCAGTACTTTTTTTGGTATTTTTCTAGAGCTGTATGTTGTCAGATATATCGATATATCGATAGCTCCGTTCTGTTATGGCGGAATGACACTTGACACTTTCTTTCGATATTTGACCGCCCACAAAAAAGTTTTAAATAATATTTTTAAATCGCTTTTTAGATCAATGTAATTGTTTAAAAATGTTAGAACTTGTTCAGACATTAAAAACCTTTCGTAATATCAAAGTCAATATATATTCACTATTTTCACAAACTGAATAAATTACTAAAAGAAGTTTCTGCAATACTTGTAAATAAATAGAGGACGATTCTTTAAATGCAAAAGCAACGCGAAATAACTTAATAAAATAAATGAATAGACTTGTCCACGAGAAGTTTGCAACCTTTGAATATTGTATATATATGACTAAGCTTTACTTTTTCTTCTTATTCTTGCTCTGCGTGCCAGCCGCTGGTGCGCCAGTCAGCGCCGCCAGCTCCTTCTTCAGATTTAGGAGTACATCGAGCTCGGGCTTCCAAATGGTCGCATCCCCGCTGGCCTTTAGGCTGCGCACCTTCTCGCCCTGCTGTGCGATTTTGTCTTCCAGTGCTTTTATTTTGCCCGCATCCGCGCCGACGTTGGCTGGCGCGGCAGCTGTTGGCACGGCTGCTGCTGGCGCGGCTGCTGCTGGCGCTGCCTTGGCCGCGTCCAGTTGCTTCTTTAAAGCGAGCAGCACATTCACTTCGGGCTGCCAGACTGCCTTGTCTTTTGTGCTGGACTTGAGCTGACGCACCTTCTCGCCTTGCGCCTGCACTGCGTTCTCTAGATCTTGCACAGATTGTGTGGCTGCAGCTGGTGCCGCTGCTGCGGGCGTCGTCTTCTGCGCCGCTTCCAGCTGTTTCTTCAGTTCGAGCAGCTTGTTAACCTCCGGCTGCCAAACGGTCTTGTCTTTTGTGCTCGCCTTCAGTTGACGCACCTTGTCCGACTGCGCCTGCACTGCTGCCTCCAGCTCAGCTGCTTGTTGCGGCTCCTCCGCCCTGGTTTCCTGTGTGCCGCCATATTTGCCCTTGAGCTCATCGATGAACGCCTGCTCCAATTTGGTGAACAGTGGTGAGGGCTTGCCAATCTTGTGGCCCGCCGGCAATAGGATGGTGGCCAAGGGTTTGCTAAAATTCAATTCGAAATTTAATGAATTTGCCAGACTTATGCCCATTGGAGCTACTTACCTGGCATCGAGTGGCGTTTGCTTGGCATTCAGCTGAGCGAACAGGTTGCGCGCCGTGCTGGGCATGTAGGGGAAGAGCAGATTGGCTAGCAGGCAGGCTATATTGGCGCACAGGCCAATGATGGTGGCAGCGCGCGACTTCTGCTCATCGTTGCCCTTGAGCAGCACCCAAGGCTGTTGGGTTTGCATGTAGCCATTGCCATGGCGTGAAATGGCCAGTAGATGACGTATGCCGTCGCGCAGCTTGGCCTTCTCCAGGGAGTTGATGTAGCCACGCAGCTCGCGATTGATGAGCGCCAGGAGCACCAGTTCGTCCTGGTTGAGTACAATTTGCGGCACAGTGCTATTGAAATTCTTCTCGCAGAAGACCAATGCGCGATTGACAAAGTTGCCCAAATTGTTGAGCAATTCGGAGTTGTTGCGTGCGGCCAAATCGTTCCAGCTGAAGCTGGAATCCTGACCCTCGGGACGTGCCGATGCCAAATAGAAACGCCAAACGTCAGCGGGTATGCCCGTCTCCTGGGCATCATTGCCAAAAACGCCTATGCCGCGACTCTTGCTAAATTTGCCATCCTCATAGTTGAGATATTCCGTGGCCATGATGTGGCTGACCAGCGTGTTGCCCTTGTTGATGGCCAGAAGCACACTGGGCCACACGACCGAATGGAAGGGCACATTGTCCTTGGCCATAAACTGGAACAGTTCCACATTAGTGCCAGCGGCAGGCTGCCACCACTGCAGATACTCCTTGGTGTAGCGTTTGGTCATGGACACATAGCCAAACGGTGCATCGAACCACACATAGAAGACCTTCTTCTCAAAGTTCTTGTGCGGCACGGGTATGCCCCATTTGAGATCGCGCGTAATGCAGCGCGGCTTCAGGCCCTCGCGTAGCCAGGCTCGTGTTATAACCCGAGCATTATGCGTCCAGCCCTGTTCAACACGATCAACCCACTCGCGCAACTGCGGCTCCGCTTTGGGCAGATCCAGAAACAGTTGATCCGAGGAGCGTAGCACGGGCGCGCTGTTGCACACCTTGCAACGTGGACGCACCAATTCGGTGGCATTCACCAGCTTGCCGCACTTGTCGCACTGATCACCGCGTGCGTCCTCATAGCCACAGCCAGGATGCGGACAGGTGCCCTCTACAAAGCTGTGAAAAGGAAAATTAGACACATTTCAATTTTAGACATATATCATATATCATATTCACCGATCGGCTAGGAAACGATCGCATTTTTGGCACAGCAGCTGCTCCACACTCTCGGTAAGTATGTAGCCCGCTTTGTAGACATCGTGGAAAGCCTCTTGTACAATGCTGAAAACGAAAGATGCTAGCATGAATACAATATATCCATTTCAATCAAAGTCAATTCAACTAACTCGGTTTGCTCCTGGGTGGTGGTGCGTCCAAAGTAATCAAAACCAATGCCGAACCAGCGGTAAATGGAATTGTGCAGCTCGAAATACTTGTCGCAAATCTCACGCGGCGTCATATTCTCGGCCAGAGCCTTATTCTCCGTGGCCGTGCCATACTCATCCGTGCCACAGATGAGCAGCGTATTGTATCCAGCCGAACGGGAGTAGCGCGCAAAGATGTCAGCGGATAGCACACAGCCAATAATGTTGCCCAGATGTGGTACATTATTGACATACGGCAGGGCTGAGGTGATGAGCACATTACGTTCTCCAGCCTTTGGCAGCACAGTGCGTGCTTCGGCCAACTCTTTTGGTTTCGTGTATGTGAAGGCAGCGCGTGCCGCATTGATCTCCTCATCCGTAACGGTGTCTGCCACGGTGGGAGCTGTCTCGGCCAGCAGTTTGCCAGCATCCACCGAGCTGGAACGCCTGAGTGGCACATGATGAAGTCCACCATAACGATTTGCCTGCTGCAACGCATTGAAGCTAAGCTCCTTTAAGGGCTGCTCCCCTAGCACTTGCTGGACCTCAGGCAGAGCTTTTATTTTATCGTACCAGCTGCGCAGATTGTCCACGTGTTGAGCACCTTTGAGGGTGCCATCTGGCGCCAATAAACACCAGATGGCTATATCCGCGGCGCTTAGCTTATCGCCCGCCAAAAAGGGCGCGTTCCTGAGGCAATCGTCCAGCTTCTTGACGAGACCATTCAGCACAGGCAAGGCGTTCGGATCCGCGCGATGACCGACGGCCATATGATGAGCCAGCGCTGGCGCCAACAGTGTTGTGGACCACTCTAGCCACTATAATTAATATATATAAAAATTAATTGAATTAACCTTCTAGGGGGAAACACATACCTCGTCCCGCTGTTGACCCTCGTCGCCCAGTAAATATTTGGCTATGGCTGCCGTGGAGAACAAACGCAAGCCAGTGTCCAGTTCGAGCGTAGGCAGCACCAGCAAATCCTTGTACTTGGCATCTGCAAGTGGCAAGCATTGTTGTGTCAGTTAACTGTTATTCAGACGTTGCACGTTGCCGGCTTGCGGGGATTTTTTTCGACTTACCATTTAGGTTAACCAATTGCACTTGAACCGCACGCTTGGCGAATTTGGCGAGCATCAGCAGCTGCAGGCCCAGCGGATTGCCCTCATTTGTGTAGATAATCATTTTGCAATGGCAATTGCAGCGTTCGAAACTAATTTAAATCAATTTACGTGGCAAAAACGGGTTAATAAAAGCCTCAGATCGCCTTCGCACGCGTATTGTCAACTATATGCATATATTAGGAATGAGCAAGTAGGCGATAGCTATCGATTGGAGAAGCGCACGCCTAACTAATTGTTATCGGAACCAAACAAACGAAACAGCTGTTGACGACAGATGGCGCCAGTCAGCGTAAGCAGTACGTAAACAATTTGTGTGTGCTTCGAAAGAATTTGTGCATTCTTATTAAAATGGGCGAACGCAAGGGTCAAAACAAATACTATCCGCCCGACTATGATCCGAAGAAGGGCGGACTCAACAAATTCCAGGGCACTCATGCGCTGCGTGAGCGCGCTCGCAAAATCCATCTGGGCATCATCATCATCCGCTTCGAGATGCCCTATAACATCTGGTGCGATGGCTGCAAGAATCACATTGGCATGGGCGTGCGCTACAATGCGGAAAAGACCAAAGTGGGCATGTACTACACAACGCCTATTTACAAGTTTCGCATGAAATGCCATTTATGCGACAATCACTTTGAGATCCAAACAGATCCTGGCAATCTGGACTATGTAATACTATCGGGCGCGCGACGGCAGGAGAATCGCTGGGATCCGCTCCAGAACGAGCAGGTGGTGCCCGAGACCAAGGAGGTGCAGAAACGACTCTTCGATGATGCCATGTACAAGCTGGAGCATCAGGCCAAGGATGTCAAAGCGGCTGCCGATGCCAAGCCTGTGCTCCAAAAGCTGGTGGAGCGCAATCAAACCGTCTGGGATGACAATTATGTGGCCAACTATCGAATGCGTGCAGTATTCCGCGAGCAGAAGAAGGAGCTAAAGGGCCAACAGGAGGTGGATCGTCAGCTGCTGGCAAAAAGCAGTCTGGACATCGCGCTGTTGCCAGAGACGCCGCAGGATAGAGAAATGGCGGCATTGATGAAACTGCAAACCAGAAGCGCCATGGAACGCGAGTCGGAGCAGCGCCTCGATCTGCTCATGCGACCAGCTTTACCAGGCGCCACCATAACCACATTTGGCGGTCTGAAGCGGCAAAAGGCGCTCAGCACGCAGCTGCAGCTGCAGGATTTGGGCATTAAGCGTAAACCGGCGTCGGCAGAAACAGCAACAGCAGGAGGAGTAGCTGCAGGAATACCAGGAGAAGCATCAGCAGCAGCAGCAGAGGAGAAAACATCAGAAGCAATAGCAGCCACAGGAGAATGGGCAGTGGAAGCAGCAGCAGGTGGCGGAGGAGAAGCAGCAACATTGCCGGCTGCTGGGGCACTCAGTTTGTTGGGCGACTATGCCAGCTCCAGTTCTGAGGAGAGCAGCCCCGATCCCAATGATTGAGAATAATGCTCTATGCACACAATAAATGGAATCGATTTAATCCGTATAATACAACAGTTGTTCCTAAAAAAAAAAAAAACACATTAATACAGCCCATCGTTCAGGTCATCAATGGCACTGTCCAGGCTATCCTCGCCGGCAGTGCCGACATTTTCATTCTGATCGGTCTTGTAGAGCACCTCGCAGACCCGATTGCAGAAATCGACATGCTCATTTTTGTTGATCGTCTCCGTGAGGAGTATCTCGATCTTGCGCAGCTTTTCGTAGGCCTGATCGCGTGTCTCAATTGTGTTGGCAATTTTTGTATTCAAATCGTCAATTTGGGATTCGAGAAAATCATTTGATGGCTCCTCTTTCATCATGGCGCGCGGCTTGATCGGCTTGGGCTGGACCGCATTGGCTGCCGATTTGATATTCTCCAGGCCAGGCGCCTGCGAGTCAAAGAACTTTTTGAACCATTGCAGGAACTCAAAGTTGTCCTGGAAACGACCCTTTATCAAGCGATCCAGCGGCACAGTTTTGTCCAGTTTGACGCGCGTGAGGGCGCCCTGAAAGAGCTTCATGTTGTGAAAAAATTCATGCTCCAGCTTGGCCGACATTTTGACCCGCTTCAAATTGATGCAGTTCGGAAAGATCATCTCCATCATTTGGCAATAGGCAACACCTGAAGCAGAGATTGAAGCTGCTTTTAAACGATCTGTTTCTGTTAGTCTCACCGCCAGCTATGCTCACCCGAAGCCATCTCTTCGATTTTCTTAAAATGTCCATTGACCATATTGTTGACCCAGTCGAGCATCTGGTGGCGCGACATGTTCTCCCCATTGGCGCTGGTCAGCGAGACAGTTGGCTTCAGGTCGCTCATCTTGCACGTCTTTCGATCTGTGTAACTATATATGTTTATAAATGTATATATATATATAAATGTAATATTAACTATTTACTGTAACACTTTTGCAGCTGCGGCTTTATGGCTTTCGGGAATTTATGGTTTGATGTACGTGTCCACGAAATGGCTTTATAAAAATATATATATTTTTGGTTTATATTTCTATATAAGTGTCGTTTATTTGCAAATGGGCTAACTGGCAGTGCCTAAATCTGAATTAATCAAAATTTGTATTAAATTAATAGTCTTGTGACTTATTTTTCCTTGCTTGCTTTGCGACTGCTCTCGCCTACAAATTGGTATTGTTTAATCTGCAATTCCTTTTCTAATTGAGCTTTTGACAGGGTGGCAACGCTGCCGCAAAGCGGCAGGATCAAGTGACAGCGGCTTTAGCTTAGGTATCGATACCAGCATCGTTTGGCATCGATATACAATTTACTGTATGCACATATCGGTTATTCAAATTTTATTTGTAGCTTACAAAGATTTTATATTAAATTTGCGCTCAACTTTCTTAACAAATTCGATGAAATCTTTGTACAAGACCTTGGGCAGCTCCAGGGCCGCAAAATGTCCACCCCTTTGGTAGTAGGTGCTGTGTATTAAATTCTTATACTTGTCCCGCAGCTGCAGATCCAGAAACTGCATAATATCACCCTTGAAACGGGCACAGCCCGTGGGCACAAACGTCGGCACACGTTCCAGCTGCAGTTGCCGCTGCTCCTTGGTATAGGCCTCTGCGTAGAGGCGCTGTGATGTCGTTATGGAGTTGGTCAAATAGTAGATCATCACATTATCAAACAGAGCGTCCAGCTTGTAGCGCTGCTTGAGTCCGCCGTCGGGCAGCGAACGGTAGCTGGCATTGGTCCACGTGGAGAACTTTTCGAGTATGTAGGCGGCCAGTCCGACAGGATTGTCGGTGAGCGCGGCGCCAACAGTGTCGGGCTTTGTGGCCTGCAGATGGAAATAGCCGCTCTCCTCCATTAAATAGCTGAGCTCGCGAGATTTGGGAAAGAAGAAATCCTCAAAGCCACTGGGCACAAACAGGCCTGGCCAGATGCCCGCCAGCAAACCCTTCACCTGCGATCTGGGACTCAAATTGTTGCACATATTCGAGTGATAGCCGAGCACATTTTCCGGATAGAGCGTCGCTATGTGCGAGCCCAGCACGGAGCCCCAATCGCCGCCCTGTATAAAGAACTTGTCATAGCCCAGACGCAGCATCAGGTTGCGCAGCATAACAGCCATCTGAGCCGGGCCCAGGCCTGGCTTTGAAGTGCCCTGAGAATTGAAGCATATGAAGCATATAAGGAGCAAACGATTATATATATATTGATATCTACCTGAGACCAGCCATAGCCCGGCAAGCTGGGCACAATCACGTTGAATATGTACTTGTTATTGGGATCCAAATGACTTTGATGCAGCATGTGTATCAGGTCGTAGAACTCACGCACCGAGCCCGGCCAGCCGTGCAGCAGCAGCACCGGATAATGGTTCTTGCCCACCTTGTTCTCATCGTAGACCATCAGGTTCAGAAAATGCATGCGTAGACTAAAATACAGCTTATCATGTGGATAGAGCGTGATAAGCGCTTATCATTCCGGCACTCACCCTTGAATTTCGGTGGTAAAGTGATTGAATTGCCACAGGAAGACCTCACGTTCGCGCCAACGCGGCAAATAATCGTCGCGCCAATAGGCGATCAGTTCCTTCAGATAGTCGCTATTGAAACCATATTCAAAGGCCACGCCCTCAAGGGGCGGTGTAAGGCGTAGCGTGCGATTCAATTGCTTAGCCAAAGCCTCAATGGTCTGAGAGAGAGAGAGAGAGGGAGACGCCGGCTCAAGTTTAGCCTGCCTGATTTTTGACCCGGGCAACGCCGGTTAATTTCTCTAGTTACTTATTATCACTTACCGTCTCTGGGTACATGAGACGATTGCCCACCACCTCAGAACTGTTGGCCAGATAGGCGTCATAATCTTTGGGCTGCTCCTCATCGCCCCACCATTGCTGTGGATCCAGCGTGGGCGCCGGCAGATCGCCCCACAGCTGATTCAGACGCTTATAGAGCATGCCGCCGCCAATGGCCAGCAGCAGCACCAGCAGACGCGTTATGGTTGACATATTAGGCAGCTCGTCGCACTTCCTCTCCAGTCAATGGTACTCGTCACACTGACTCGCCCCGACGCGGCTAAACGGACAGTCATTTGGCTGAGATTGGCGTTGTTTTTGTTTTTCTGTTTGGGGATCGTCAAACTTCGCATACACACGATGATATGTGATTTTGTTGGTTCAACTGCGCTACATTTGAAAAGTCATTCGGTTTAAAAATAAACTTGAGGTTAAATTTTAGCGTAGAGCTGTAGAGCAGGAGCTTACCCATGTCGCATATGCCGCACAATCTGGCCGGCTTTAAAGCTTTTGTGAAAGCTCGTTTTTGGCGTGTGTTGGGTAATTCTAAACTTTGCAAATTGGGGGTAATTTTAGATGCAGCTGCGCGGCTAGCTAGGTCAAGCCCGCTCGGTCTCTAGTCTGAAGGGTATTTCAAGTACAGCAACTCGTTTGCGACAATTAATGAGTTTCACAAATGAGAATCAGCTACTAGCTCAAACATTCAAATGAAATATAAAATTCTATGCGCTCAATATTAGCGTGTCTTATGTAAACAAAGGGTATTTGAGTGTCGCACATGCCCATAACTTAACTATTACGAAACTTTTACATATATGTATATATACTATACTTTGAACAGAGAACTAATTGTTATTCTGTAGACAATTGTATATGTTATGTGTTTCCGAGCCCATACTTATCAAATTGAGACCTCTTTAGCATTCCGTTTATGCCTATTGATAAATAAACAATCTTATCAATTTCAAAATGTCTTTTTATATAAAAAATAAACAAAAGTTTTATATATTCCTTGTGCCGCTTCTTAAAGTACAACCGAAAATGGAAATGGACTCATTCAAGTTTAGGGAAACGCCTTCTTTATATATGCCACAAAGTCATCATAGAGCTGCTGTGGCACCTGGAACGCGGGGAAATGTCCACCGTCGGAATGATGTGTGCTGTGTACCAGATTCGGAAATTTGTTGGCCAGCACCGAGTCCGGAGTGTGTGCGACCTCATGGGCAAAGCGAGCACAGCCGGCTGGCGCCTTGACGGGCACACTGTCCACGTCGAGGCTCAACTGTGCGCTATTCATTGACTCGGAATACAAACGCACAGATGTGGTTATCGAGTTGGTCACATAGTAGATCATAATGTTATCCAGCAGCTGATCGTAGGTGAAATGCTTGGTCAGACCACCGTCCTCCAATTTCTTGTACTCTGGATTCGTCCATGTGGAGAACTTCTCGAGTATGTACGCCGCCAGGCCAACGGGATTGTTGGCCAGCGCCGTGCCAATGGTGTCCGGTTTGGTGGCCTGTATATGCGCATAGCCGAACTCCTCCAGGATCATGAAAAACGTATCACCCAGGCCTTTGTAAAAGTGTGCGTACTGGCTGTCAATGTAGAAGGAGGGGAAGAAGGAGGCAAGCAGCTGGCGAAGATTGCCCATAGGACTGTTGTTAGCACACAAATTGGAGTGATAGCCCAGGGTGTTCTCTGGGAACAGAGAAGCCAGATTGGCGCCAATAAGGCTGCCCCAATCGCCGCCCTGAATGAGGAACTTATTGAAGCCCAGACGCAGCATCAGATTGCGCATAATCACCGACACCTGAGCGACGCCCAGACCAGGCCTCGAAGCGCCCTATATGGAAGAGACAAAGTGTTCAGGAGACTGCAACATGAAGCATAACTCAGTTAAATCTCACCTGAGACCAACCATAGCCTGGCAAACTGGGCGCTATAACCTCAAAGACATAATCGCTCTTATCGCTGCCCGTGGTCAGCAATGGGATAAAATCGTAAAATTCGCGCACGGTGCCGGGCCAGCCGTGCATCAAGAGCAGCGGCAGCACCTTTTTACCTGCCGCATTGCTGGGCTTGGCGTGTATAAAGTGAATTCGTAAACTGTAACAATTGCAAATGCGTTCACGTGAATATCAATAAGAAATTATCATAATATATGCCAATATGTATGTATGATCCACATCCACATCGCATTGCTTACCCCTGGATTTCGGTCTGGAAGTGCTTGAACTTCTTAAGGATCTGCTCGCGTTCATTCCATTTGGGCAAATAGCTGTCCCGCCAATATTTCACAACCTTGTTCAATTCCTTGGCATTGAAACCGTACTCAAAGCCGACGCCTTCCAGCGGCTCCTGCAGCTTCAGCGGACGCTCCAGCTGTGCCTTCAAATCGCCAATAACCTTGAGGGTAAAAGAAAAAAAAAAAAAAAAAAAAACAATTAATATGCAAGGCAGCTGGGCAAACGTGTTTTTGGTATACAGCAAAAAGAAAAAAGAAAAGAAAAAAAAAAAAAAACGCAAATTTTGATCTATGACCTACGTCGGGCGCAACACTTATGTCATAAGGCGAAACGAGCTTATTTTCTTGATATGAACCCTTCAGCTTAGGTCCCCAATATTCATTATTATCCAAATCCGGCCGCTTGCCGGGCGCGCCCAAATCGCGATAGTTCTTGTAGCCCACAGCGACCAGGATAGCAAGGCCGCCGATCAGTATGCGCACAAATGTCGCCGATGCGGATGGCATTTTTCTTTCTTGTCTTTTGGTATATGGAATCCAGCTGTGGTCTAACGACTAATTCGATTTTTATATGCTATAAACGCTCCAAGACCAACGCGACCGCGCGCTTTCGCTTTACAAAGGCAACTGTTCAACGGCGAATATCAACGGAGACCGGTCCCTTGCTGTGAGAAAAATTGCGTTAAGAAATAAACAGAAACGAATATCATGATTGAGAGACGGCGGAAAAAAAAACAGCACACGCTGAATTGCAATACAATATACGTTGCCGCTCATAGTAATAGAGTCACTCAGAGATCGTGCATGATAAAGGTTTTTGTTTAGCGGCATTGAGTAATAAATATATTTATTATAAACTAAGTTTACTTAATTTATTATTAAACACGCACATTTTATAGAAATTTCTGATTACGCAAGAGTTTCACACAATTGGAATATAATAAATGTATTCATCTCCTCTTATTAATTGTGTTATTATTAATTACCAACTATACATTATTTTACATCCCAGTCTTTTTGGCAGAACGAACTATGCTTGTGAATTAGGCAAGTTAACATTTGAGTGCATATTTTTATATAAAGTGCTTTTATAGGTTCTAAATTCATGACACGCAATGTAGTTGCCGTTTTTGCTCTTCCTAAGCGTGGTATGTGCTCATACACATACACATGCACATATGCACACACACACACTTTAATAAACGCACATGAATACTTAGGTAGGTAGGAGAGCAGTGCGATCAACCGCTAATCGTGCCTCTCGTGAGTCAAAGCTTGCACGACAATGTAAATAAAGTTGATTTGCATAAATAAATAAAAGTGAAATATATTCAGTGACGACTCCTCTTTAATGGCTGCTTTCTTGAGTAACAATTTAATGAGCTTTTAGATACGCAAGATACAAGGAATTTCAATGAATTTGGCATATATTTTAAGACTTCATTTACATAAATCGGCATAACAAATTAAAGCTCTCCTCCATAGCACATAACAGTTATGCATTGCGAGCATGACAAAGCAGCAAGACAATTGATAAACATAATTTTGTGGTAATTGAATTCGAAACGAATACTTTGTTCATATCAGTTGCAAAAAACAAAATAAGTGCGGCTAAAACGATGACAAGCAACAAACACGAAAACACAAAGTGCAGCATTCAGTGTTGGAAAGCAAAAAAAGTTGGATTTTAAGAAAGGGGCGCGCTTTTTAAATTGAAAAGATTAGATTGTGTTCCCGCATAAAGGTCTGGCATAATCAAATGACTAACTAGACTCAAAATGAAATAGGTAAGTTTGTCTTGTCTTTACTTTATTATCAATACATTCTGTGCTCTATGAGAGCTACAACATTCCTCTTAACTTTCACCGTGCAGTCCAACTTTTTTCGCAAATGCCGTAAAATCATTGTACAACATGGATGGCATTTCCAGGGCAGCAAAATGGCCGCCGTGCTGGAAATACATGCTGTGCTTTATATTGGTGTACTTGTCCTGCAGCTGCCATTCCGAAGCTGCGGGCAAATCAAACCTAAACCGAGCACAGCCCATGGGCACGGAGGTCTGCACGCGATCCAGCTGCAGGTCACGATACGGCTTGGACACGTTCTCGGCATAGAAACGTGCGGCTGTGGTCGCCGCATTGTTCAGATAATAGATCATCAGATTGTCGAGCACCGCCTCCAGGCCAAAGACGGTGACAATGGCGCCAAAGTCCTGCTGTAGGCTGGGCCCACTGCAGGTCTGGAACTTTTCGAGTATGTAGGCGGCCAGCGCAACGGGACTGGAGGTGAGTGCGGCGCCAATGGTGTCCGGCTTGGTGGCCTGCAAATGATAATAACCGCTCTCCACCAGCAGCATATGATACTTCTCCCATATGCCCACATGGTGATCATAAAACATGCGCGACTTCAGCACCTTCTCGGGATAGTAATTAATATAGACGCTCTTGAGGAAGGACAGCGGAGTGCTCAGTATGCACATATTTGAATGATAGCCCAGCACATTATCCGGATACAATGTGGCCAGATTGCTGCCAATAATGCTGCCCCAATCGCCGCCCTGAATGAAGAACTTCTTGTGGCCCAGTCTCAACATCAGATTACGCATCACGGTGGCCATTTCAGCGGCATTGAAGCCCACGCGTGTGGCAGCCTAGTGAAATAAAACACATGACATTGCCATAAATCAATAGACATTAAATATATATATACTCACATCCGACCAGCCGAAGCCAACGAGCGAGGGTGCAACCACTTCAAAGGCATAGTCGGAAATGTTTTGATCCTTGTTCAGCATTGGTATAAAATCGTAAAATTCACGCACCGAACCCGGCCAGCCGTGGAGCAGCAACAGCGGATAGACATGCTTCTTTTCCGCCACCTCCTCGTCAACGCGCTCGTGTATGTAGTGAATCTTTAAGCTGCAGATTGTGGAAATTTATGAAATTGGCTTAGGCCATGTGGAGAGTGGTCCACAGATGCCACACACTCACCCCTGTATCTCGGTGGTGTACTGCTTCAGCGAGTTCAAATACGCCTGGCGCTCATCCCAATTGGTTAGATACTTGTCACGCCAGTATTCCACAAACTGCTCCAATGCGTACGTGTTGAAGCCATACTCAAAGGCGATGCCATCGAGCGGCTCGGTCAGCCGCAGTGTGCGATTCAGTTGCTGTCGCAAATCCTCAATTTCCGCCTTGGGCACATCCAATTTGAAATCATAGATTTTCGTATCGGGCACATAATTCTTGCCATCGCCGGGTCCCCAATATGTATCGTCTTTGTACTCTGGCCGGGGCAGCGGACGTGTCAGGTCTGTGAACAACAGATAACCGTAGCCCACAATGCCAGCAAATATGGCCACAATCAGTCCAAATATAACCAGGCACTTCATTATTGGCCAAAATACGTCTAAGCAACAATTCCGATTGTTTATCTGCCTAATGACTAAAATTTTAATGAGCTGCCTCCACAAGTTCCCAAAAATTCATCGAGTATGCACAACCGCGCTCCGTGCTCGCCGTAAACCAACTGATTACCGACGACTGCAACGGCCGAGAGCTATTGTTAATCTATACTATATAAAACATATAAAAATATGTATAAATAAATGATACATATGATAGTGCGCCTTTTGCGCACAGTGGGACGTGCACATATTTTGAATTGTGCGCTGTTAATGAATATTTTTTTGTATTCTTTTTTTTTTTTTTCATACAGAAGCGTCATATATACTTTGAAACTGACATATAATAGAATCGTATGCATCGCTAATAAGTTAGCTTACGTTTACATATACAAATCTCAGGCTCTAGCTATATATATATTAGCTTTAAGATTTGTCTTTGATTATTATTAAGTAATATGTATAAATATAAAATTATTTAGAAATTAAAAGCAATTTTTTTATTAATATAAATCAAACGCTTTTTATATTAATAAAATATAAACATCAAATGAACATAATATCATTTTATATTATATATTAAAGTTTCTGCATAGATACAAAAAGAAAACTGAATTATTAAATATTAAACTGGAGATTGTCGTTTATGGCCAGAAATTATAAAATATACCCTTTAAAACTCGACTAAATATATCATTTTTTTTTTAGTAAATGTATAAAATTTACTCTAATCTATTGCTGATTTTGTTGATCCAGTCGCTTATCTCAAATATCATTTGAGAGTTTCCAATTCGTTTTTTTTTTATAAACCTGATTAACTTGAATAGAAGTTTGCAAATTTCATTCATAAAAAGTTTTCCATAGTTAGATAGATAGCTTTTGGCTGGTTTCTCAGCGGTTTCAACCACTGTGCGGTACAATATACGATTGTCACTGGGCTTGTCTGTTGGTTGAGAACATTTCGAAGATATGCGGTCTGGTGCCGGGAACACTGGCTCGAGCTTAAGTGGACGCTATCTTATCGGAGACCCTCAATGGAACTTATTTATTCTTATTTATTACCAAGTTCCCACTTGCTGGGTCCGGCTGCTGCTGATGTGGCCTCAAACATTTCTCCAACAGCAACAACAAAAAGAGTAGGCCACGTGGTTGTTTCAAAAGTTGTTAACAAAATGTTTGAGCCTACAAACAATATATATATTTGTCTAGTTCCAGTAAACAGAACAGATCAATTCCAAATTTGAAGATACACATATACCTATATATATATATATATATTAATATACCAAAGACATAGCCAAACGCTGTATTAGAATGGAGGAGGCTGGCGAGCTGCGTGTTTCGCCCCATATAACCTTGAAGATGCAATCGGCGGATCGGGGCGTTATCCTCTTCCGCATACGGCGCCTGATGCCGCTGGGCAAGCTGAAGGATGCGTACTGCTCGCAGATGGGCTTGTCCAAGGATTTGGCTAGCCTATCGTTCGATGGCGAGAGGATCAACGACAATGATACCGCCAATTCGCTGGAGCTCGAGGATGAGGATATGATGGATGTGCTGATGAAGCGTCAATCCGAGGCTGGCGATACGGCGATCCGGCCCGCCGATGCACCATCCAGCTAGTTAGCATTTTTGAGTTGGTTTTCGTTTCACACTCAACAAAAATTTATAAAGTCTACCCACTTGACGCAAGGTCAATGAACTGCAGTTGGGTCAAGGCGCAACGGTGTGCGGGGATACGTTTCCATGAAGGGGTTGTTGCACTTGTCACTGCGTGTACTAGGTTTAGGGGTGGAGATTGGATTGGTTGGGAGAGGAGCCGGTGCTCAAAGGCGCCGGCTGCCTGGTATAATTTGTGTGGCTAACAATTATGTCGTCGACATGCACAAGCGGTGCCAGGAGTGCGCGCTCCAGGCCACAAAAGTGCCGCGAAACATGCAAGCGCTATCCCCCGCCTTGCCGCCCCCCCCCCCCTGTCAAGCTGGGCGTGGCAGCTACACAAGAAACAATTTAACAATGGGAATTGGAATGCAAGTGAAATTAACGCAATTAGGCCGCAGCTAGTAGAGCTAAATTCGATTCTGGCCAAAACTTGCCGCAATGATGCACTGCAGCCACAAACTTTTGCGCCTGTCACACCCACCGTGTTGCCGCCTCCCTTTGGCGTGCCGCACCCCAAATCGAATGGCGTTTGGCAAGCGCACTTGGCGCAGCGTGTCAAAAGCTGGCACCAGGCCCACAAATAAGAAAAAACAACGATATTACGTCGATTTCCATGCCCCAATCTTGGGGGAATCCTTAATTGCCGCATTGATGAGCGCTTCATTTGGGGCAAAGGCTGAGCCATATTGTGGCTGGAAGTGCGATTTCCACGGGGTGTGAGCCTTTTATTTTATTGAGTGCTGTTGTAGCCTGTGTGTGCCACTTTTTGTATACCCTGTAATAATTGTGATAAGAGGTGTATTGATTGTGATTGAAGTTCCTATGAGAACCTTAGCTATATGTAATATTTTATCTGTTATATTTTAGATAAAACCAACTTATGTACTTTTTAATATTGTGTACTTAGGTAATTCCAATAGATACTAAATATAAGATATATATTAGTTTACAAAATTTTAATATTCTGAGTAAATCATAAATTTTAAAACACACAGAAAAGTGTTGTAAAATTCCTAAAATGTTTATTACAAGTGTCTTTAGCGCATGCAGGGTATCACACAGTCTAGCAACTCTAGCCTATACCTCTATTAGTATAGTAGCTTATACTATTTAGCATTTGACAAATTCTAGATCTCTCCATATATAGTCTAATTATTAATCTTTTGCAGGGCATCGCACAGTCGTGCCTACTCTAATTGCAGCCATTTGGTTGATATTGTTTTTCCTTTTTATTCGATTGTATCTACCTTTAGAAAGTTGGGTGTTTTTTGAGTACACATTGTTTCCTTTACCGCCTCTCGTAATGGCCGCAATTATCATGGGCTCAACACGCACTCCACGTCGAGGTGCATTGAACTGTCGGCAATTGATTTTTGACATGCATGGAGCGACAATTTTACAGTGTGCTAAGCTCGAATACAAATTGGTGGGTTATATATAGATATATAGAAATATATAGATATTTACACCAAGCAGTTAGTCTAGAGAGCTCGTAAATTCTATTTTAAGTCATAAACTATAAGTTCTATGCCTGATAAATGACTGTCGCGTTTTATTCAATTTTTGTTGCATACTCTAAGGCGTACACGAATTTAGCCTAAAAGTAGGCAATAGCTTTGCAAGAAGATTATTTCTAGGAAAAGCCACTATTAATATCCAATGAATAAAGAAAAGTTAGATCATAAATTCAATTGTTAAATGGTATATTTAAATATTTTAATGGGCGTTGAAAGTTTAAACATTTTATAAGCCATGCCCACGAGGGAAGTACGACTAAGCCCCGAAAATCTATCTAAATCCCAAAAGGATTTTCGGACTAGACTGAACCAATTTGGATCTTCTAAAGAGCTATTCAATAATACCTTGCCATTGCCCACTCAGGGCGTGGCAGCCCATAAAATCGCCACAATTGAATAAAGTCTGGCTGGAACGAATATGACGCAATCTATTATGCCCGACCGCAACAATCTGTAGCGAAGCGCATAGAGAAAATTGAATTTCAGCTAAAATGCACAGCTGTGATATATATGTTCAAATATATAATATTTATAACAAATCAAGCTGGACAACATCTGTCAACTAATTATCCCGATCCGTCCACTCGCCGCGTGCATCATCCCAGACAGGAAACCAGCTCTTGGTGGGCGCATTTGCCCCATTCACGCCCAGTTCTGCATCATCGACTTGTGCCACGCCCAGCTGCAGGTGGCAAACAGTTAGTCAGAGCTGCTAAAGTAGTTACATATATCAATTTATTACCCCGCACAGCAGAGCCAATAATATGGCCATAATATTTATGTAAATGATTCGCAGCCGCATTTTGCACTCTGTCAAAGTTGACTCTCTCGACTGATGCACGTTGTGCGACTGTTTCGCTGTTTGTTTATAATATTTAAACGGGGAAAAAAACACAGTGCACAATATTTATTTAATAATTTATTCATGCTACATGGGCATTATCAGCAGCTGATAAGCCGCACAGACGAGACTCGTAAAAATTGAAATGAACACGAAATGCTGAAAATGTTTTCACAGAAGCCACAAAATGCTCATAAATCAATGAATGCTAAATTAAAAAAATAAACAATAACACTTGCCATGTCGAATCTGTGGTCAGAGCAGAAATGTGTCATAACTATAGGCCAACTATGCCAGACAAATGTTTTTCCGCATGTTCAATAAAATATTTCAATAAATGTTCATATGAAAGAACAATAAAAGAAAAATACGATTATATACGTACTCCATTGGGCAAGGCAATGCGCAAAGCAAGCAAAACAAAAAACATAATAAATGTTTAATTGAAGACAAACAAGTGCCAGCTCAGAAATACGCCAATTTCAACAAAAGGAATCACCCTGGGGAAGCACCCGGCAGATAAAGACAGAGCTGCGGCTCCACGGTGATTTTTTTGGTTCTGTGCATCTTCGACTGCTGCGTGGTCTAGCTATAAAAGCTCGCTGTTCCGGCTAGATGCATTATCAGTCAATCAGCTCCAGATTCACATACAACATGCAGGTTACGCTCATCGCTTTGCTCTGCTGCATTGTCGGCTCCGCCCTGGCCATGCCCCAACCCAATCCCGAGGAGAAGCCGAAGGGAGATGTGTGGACTGAGCGCCAGCAGTTCAATCCGCCAAACGAGCAGCGTTTTCTTTTGGATGGCGGCTACAACAAGGACAAGAGCGGCAAGGATGTATGGGCCCAGGCTCAGGTGCCCGTTTGGACCAGCGAGAACAAACGTCACGAGTTCGATGTGATTGGCAAATATGGACAGCATCTGGGTGGACCCTGGGGCAACAGCGAGCCTTCATGGGGCGCGGGTGGCAACTACAGATTTCGATTTTAAGTAGAGTTTCTGTTTATAAAGTATTTGTATAAATTCAGCAACATAAGAACACAAATTTACTGAGGTTTAATAAAATATTAATTCAAATACAACTATTTATACCATATCAATTAAGATTTTCGATACTTTTAGATACTTTCTAAGTCAGAGTATGGCATTATACAAAACACAAGTTTGGGGATTCGTATTATGCAATTATTTATTTTTTCCCTAAAAGGGCTGATTTTTTAAAAAGTATGCAACACATCTCATATTACTATTCATAAGGAGCCTTCGATATGAGTTTGAACCTGAAACTTTATCCAATAATTCCATCAAGGAAAGGGCGTCTGAAAAGAATTTGCCCAATGATCTTTGAAAGTTAGCCTGAGCCCTGGACAAAAAGATTCACACAACAGCTTCGGCGATTTTTCCACTCTTGCGGATGGAATTTTCCAAAATTTCCCTGTCTTAGTGATTCAGTCAGTCGGCCAGACTGACCAGTCGGATTGTTAGTTAATCAATCAGTCAATCAATCACTCAGTGTGTTTTTCAATCAGTTAGTAAGTCAGTCGGTCAGTCAGTCAGTCAATCAGTCAGTCAGTCAATCAGTCAATCAGTCAGTCAATCAGTCAGTCAATCAGTCAGTTAGACTGTCAGTCAGTAAGTTAGACAGACAGTTAGTCAGCCACTGTGTTAATAAGTCTGTCAGTCATTCAGTCTCTCAACCTGTCAACCAATCAGTCAGATAATCAGTCAATCAGTCAGTCAGTCAATCAGTAACGAATTCAGTCTGTCAATCAGTCCTTCAGTCAGTTAGTCTGTCAGTCAGTAAGTTAGACAGACAGTTAGTCAGCCACTGTGTCAATAAGTCTGTCAGTCATTCAGTCTCTAAACCTGTCAACAAATCAGTCAGAAACTCATTCAGTCAGTCAATCAGTCTGCCAGATGAAGAATATTAAAGGTATTTGAAGATCTTTCTTTCCGTCGACAGTCTATTAAAAAGAATTACAAACCGTATGAAAGACAATCTGAGAGATACGTACTTACATTATATATTTTAATATACTCATCAGTATTGCTATAATAATGTGTTTATATGTATGTATACTATAATACTTTGTTTGAAGTAATAATGAAGGATGAATATTAAATGTATATCATTTACTTTGTGCGGCCAAGCGACCTTAAGATGAAAATCCCCCCAGTCATAAAAAAGGAACCACCCAGGGGAAGTACTAAGCAGATAACATAGAACAGCGAGCTGGCAGTGGGTCATCTCACCCATCGGGTGGTGCTCGTCTTGTCTGCCTATAAAAGCAATGTTCAAGCTGGACGCATTATCAGTCAATCAGCTCCAGATTCACATACAACATGCAGGTTACACTCATCGCTTTGCTCTGCTGCATTGTCGGCTCCGCCCTGGCCATGCCCCAACCCAATCCCGAGGAGAAGCCGAAGGGAGATGTGTGGACTGAGCGCCAGCAGTTCAATCCGCCAAACGAGCAGCGTTTTCTTTTGGATGGCGGCTACAACAAGGACAAGAGCGGCAAGGATGTATGGGCCCAGGCTCAGGTGCCCGTTTGGACCAGCGAGAACAAACGTCACGAGTTCGATGTGATTGGCAAATATGGACAGCATCTGGGTGGACCCTGGGGCAACAGCGAGCCTTCATGGGGCGCGGGTGGCAACTACAGATTTAGATTTTAAGTA